CCCACCTTCTCCAGGGGCTCCGGTTTGCGTGTGCCCCCCCAGCCGTCCCGGCTGGCCGCCCTGTGCGGCCCCGCGGGGGCGCCGGCAGCAAGGGTCGGGGCGTCTCGCAGAACGTGTGCTTGCAGCTTGAGGAGCCCCCGTTCATCAGCGGCAGGGGCGACCCGGTCCCACTGGGGCCGAAGGAGGCCGGCGGGACCCCTCTCAGGGCGTGAGGTGCTCGCCCTCTCAGGAGCGAGCCGGCACGCACGCACACACGCACACGCACACACACGCACCCACTTCTCTGTCTTAGAGCCATTTGTCTCTGAATGCCAAATTGCAATAATTAACCATCATTGATCTTAAATTCAATTAACTTCATTAACGCAGGTCATGACGAGGGTGCCTGTAAGGGAGAGGCATTTGGCAAGTGTCTCTGCTCATGTGACATTCCGGCTCCTCCGTGGTGGCCGCCGACCTCCAGACTGCCCCTGCGGGGGCAGCGGGCGGAGGGCTGGGGGGGCGCGGGCGGGCCGGGTCCGTCGGAGGCTCCCCGGGTTTTGGGCAGGAGGCAGGTGGCCACAGGGCGGCGAGTGCGCCTCCTGCTGTGCGCTCGGTGCACAGGCCGGCCGCTGCCCGAGGCGGCGCCGCAGGACCCTGGGGCTTCCGGAGGGCAGCCCGCCGCCTGAGTGTGCGGATGCAGACACTGTCTGTCCTGGCCGAGGAGGGGAGAGGCCGGGGCTCCCACCACCAGCTCCCGGGGGACGCAGGAGCGCCCCTGGTTCTCACGCACGCTGTCCCCGGCAAGCGCCTCGGCAGACGGGCCCCTGACGCACGGCAGGGGCCTCGCTTCGTAGAAACACCGTCCCCGCAATGCTTTTGAGCAACCCCCCCGCCCCCCCCCCGCCCCCCATCCCCGTGCACTCACACCCTGTGCTGCGGTGCGGGAGCCGCCTGGGGAGAGCCCTCCCTCCCGGCCAGGGCGTCCCCTCCTGCACCCCCAGAACAGCACCCACACCCAGGCCAGGGTCCTCCTCCGGGGCGCCCGTCACACAGCCTCACACGCAGCTCCGCCAGGCTCCAGGCGTGCCCAGGCCGGCTCCGGGGTTGTACCCCCACATGACAACGGTCTGGCAGGCCTTCCCACGTTGGCACTCGTGGGTTTACCTCGTCCTCCTAAAGGGAGCAGTCCCTTCAGCAGAAGACACGAAGGGCCAGCCTGCAGAAGGAAGTGGGCAGGCGGATGGATCTTCCCCAGGTGGACACGTGCGTGAGGCCAGGGCCCCAACCCAGAAGGGGACCGGCGCCCAGGGGTCCCCGGAGCCGCCTCCCGGCCCCCAGCCTCTGGGACGCCACGGTCTGGCTTTGCCCAGCTTGCGCGTTTACTTGCAGGGGTCCCAGCAGTCTGTGTGTTCTCTCTGCGGCGTCGTTCCCACTACGTTTGCTCGTGAGGCTCCTCCAGTGGGTGGGGCAACGGTTTGTTCGCCTCCCGGCACACCGTGGGCCCCATCGCGGCCGTGGGGCCGGCCCCAGCCCCTGGCCGGCAGGAGTGACGTGCCGGAGGGCGTGCGGGTCTCCGGTGGGAGGCGGGGGCGTTGTCGCTGGCAGATGCGCGGGGCGGCGGGGGGTGGGGTGGGGAATGGCTGTGTTGCGGGACGTGCGCTGGGGCAGCCTCGGCCAGCCTTCCGGACAGGTCTCGCAGGGGCTGTGTGGCTCACGCCGCAGCGAGAGGGCGTGTTTCTGTGGCCCCGCGCCTCCGCCGGCACGGGCGCTGCCCTCTGGGATTCCCTGTAAGTGGCTGCGCGTTAGTTACTCCCCAGCACCTGCGGGTGCACCTGCGGGTGTTCATCCTCCGCTGTGGAGCTGGGAGACGGGAGGCCGGAAACCCCCTCAAACGTGGAAGTGTCTGCGCGTGTGGGTGTTTCTCTGCCGTGCGGACCCCCCCTCGGGCCGGCAGTGCGCACGGTTTCCCTTTGGCCGCGGGCTCCTCACCGCCCTCCCCAAGGTGACCGTGACAAGTGCCGCACTGACCGCCGGGTGACAGTGCCACCCTCATTCTTCGCCGTTTTAACATTCGCTTTCCCCTCCCCACCGTCGCTCAAAACGGTGAGGCCCGCGGGTCCTTGGGTCTGGACAGGACACCCCCAGCCCGGGCATCCGAGTGTCGGCGTGGGGCAGCGAGGCTGGCGTTCGGCAGGGAGACTGTGGCGTGTGCGACGCCATCCAGCCGACAGGCCTTGTTCGTGGGTGGGTTTGGGGACGCCTGTTTTGATAGAAAGGAAGTTGAGAGCAGTGGGTATTGTTATACACCAGCCAAAGTTATGAAACGTTTGAACTTCATTTCCTTAAACTATCTGGGAAGACCCGCTCCCTCTCCTGAGCGTGACCTGGCCGTTCAGGCCGGCCTTGCATGGGGACCGGCAGGCCCGAGTGGGTGCATCCTGGGTGTGGGCGGGTCAGACCCCGGCGGCCGCCGGCAGGGCTGTGGGCCTTGGGCAGGGACCCTGGCCCAGGTGGCCTCCAGGCTGGTGCCCTGCACTGTGAGGGAAGGCCTGGGCGTCTCCGGGGTGCTGCGAGCCGAGCCTCCTCTTCCCGGCCCCGCCCCCTGAAGGGCCTTGCCGTGGGCTGGCCCCCGGTCCGTGGGACCTGGGAGCCATGTGCTCCTGGGTGGGAGGTGGGCCGGCGAAGCCACTAGGTTTTCCCTCAGCTGGTGGCCTTCGTGCCCAGTGGGCTCTTTCATGTCCACCCATGGCCTGCTGCTTCTGGCTGTGTGGTGTCCCCTGTAGCGGCCGTTGGGGGGCCGTGTCTGGACTCCTGCCTCCCCCTGACTTGTTCTGGGGCTGCACCTGTGTCGTGGGCACCTCCAGGGGAAGGACGCTGAGGACCCCCCTCCATTTGCAGGCCAGGCTCCAGAGGGAGCGAAGCCCCGCTGGACACTGGAAACCATCTGCTCTGTGTCCCCAGTTTGCCAGGATGGAGAGGAGTCCCGGGGTGCCGGACTCTCGGGCTCAGGCTGAGGCAGATCCAGGCAAACCGCACCTCGGGCCACCCTCCGTCCTGATGCGCCGGCCAGCCCCTTGGGGGTGCGAGCCGGGTGCCCAGACCGCACTGCGGGCTGCGGAAGGGGACCGCGAGACGCCCTGCATGCTCCTCCTCCTCTCCTTTCCCGGGGCACAGTCCCTGCCCCGACGCAGCCAGCCGGGCAGCCCTGGGCCGGCACCGTGTCCCCTGTCCCCTGACCCCGTGGGCCCTGGCCCGGGGGAAGGAGCTCGTCGGCCACTTGAACTTGCCGTCTCTCAGTGCGTGGCCCCACACGTGTGGCCCCACGCAGCACGCCACGCCTGTGACGCCCGGGCCGGGCGCTGCCTGTCACCCCTAACGGACACTTGTGGCTCCTGCTCTCACTCGCGTGGGGGCAGAGTGTCCCTGGGCCACTGTCCCCCCATGTTGGGATGTCACCACCATGTCAACGTGGGAGGCTTGGCACCCAGGGAGGGCGTTGGGAGGGCAGGGGCGCCCGCCTGGGCCAGCGGAAGCGTGTCTGTGGGTCTCCGTTGGTCCGAGTCAGTGTCACCGTGTCTGCTGGTAGGACATTTGTTGGGGGTGAGAGTCCCGCAAACAAAGCTGCTTTTTCTTCTCTAAGAGTCCGTGTTGGGTTCCGACCCCCGTGCAGCCCGCGGCTCCCTTCCCCCCGCCCGGCCCTCTGACACTTGCAGCTGGAGGGGGGGGGGGCAGGGGGCAGACGCACGGCTCTCCCTCCTCCTCTGGCTTCAAGGTGAAACGGTGGCTCAGCACCAGGCCGCTGCCGTGGGGTCAGCTCTGCGTCCAGGGCCCATGCACGGGTGGTGCCACCGTGTCCTGTCCTCACGGGCCCGGCTCAGTGGTCGGTGCCGGGCGAGCCCCACGAAGGAGTGACCGAAGTCACGGGATGCAAGAAAATGAGAAGGAGGTCGCGTCGTTCTGCCAACACAAGTGCCCCCGGGGCCCGTGTCCCTGGGCGACGGCTCGGGGGCCTGCAGCCGTTCGGCCCTGCCCCCCGCCTGCCCGGCACGTGCTCGCCAGGCGAGCACCCCGGCCTCCCGCTTCCGGAAGGCAGGCCCTGTTGGATGCCCGTGGAGCTGACGCTGAGTCAATATTGACAAAGTAGTCTAAAGAGCAAACACTCTGACATTTGTAAGGTCCACTGGAAGGTCTTGTATGTGTTTATACAGCGCGAGTGAGTGGTGCATACCAATCGTCCCGCACCCGCCCCGACACCGTCCGCTCGGGCGGCGTGCTGCGGCCGCTGGGCGCGGCTGAGCGGGTGCGGGCGCGGGGCCGTGCTGGGGGCAACGGTGGTCGGAGTCTCCCTCCCACGGGGGACAGCGAGCACCTGTCTCCTGACAGGACACGCGGGCCAAGCCTTGAGGAGACCTGCTTTTCCAGATGGAAGGGGGAGAAAAACCCACAAAATCTCATTTTTAATTTACTTCAATTGGTATACTTTCTTTTTACTTCGTAAAAATTTTATTGATGTTTTTGTCCTTTATATTTATTAAAGATTGAGCCTCAAAAATGTAATGAGTAAAAAATGCTTGCTTAATTTAAATTGTGAATCTGTCTGTTAAGAAATGCATTAGGGGTAGGAGAAGCATAAGACATATTAATTGACAGACAGGAACTGCTGTCTCTGAGGTTGATACAAGTAATTTATTACTTTAGAAATGAATGCCACCTCCAGAATGTGCTTCATTAATTTCAAATTTAGTTTTAATTTCAAGCTGTTGCCCCTTGAGAAGAATAAGGTGGCAAATTATGTTTGAAGAGCAGATATTTTTTTGTACTCCAAAGAAACACCACATTGTAACTATTTAATTTTTCAAATAAATGTGCCCATCGGCTTTGCTGCATTTTCCTGGGAGCTGAGAAAATATTTCAGGTAAGACCGACACCCACTAACGCTTTCTTTTCTCTCTCTTCTTCCCCCGGTCTCTCTTCTTTCTGTCGCACCTGCCCCACCTTCTCACCTGTCACCACGGCAGCCTATGTTTCCGACGAGCTAAAGGCTGCCGCCCTGGTGGAGGAAGACCTGGACCCGGAAGAGAGCGCGGCAGATGGGGAGCCCTCGGCCAAGTACGCGTGCCCCGAGAAGGAGCTCAGCAAGACCTGCCCCAGCTACCAGAACTCGCCCGCTGCCGAGTTCTCCAGCCACGACCTGGACAGCGAGTCGCACATCAGCGAGGCCAGTGACCGCATGGCTGACTTCGAGAGCGGCTCCATCAAGAACGAGGAGGAGACCAAGGAGGCGGCGGTGGCGCTGGAGGACACGACCGTGTCGGACAGCCTGGAGCAGATGAAGGCCGTGTACAACAACTTCCTGTCCAACTCCTACTGGTCCAACCTCAGCCTCAACCTGCACCAGCCGTCCTCGGAGAAGCACCCCGGCAGCAGCAGCAGCAGCAGCAGCAGCGGTAGCAGCTGCGGGAGCGGCAGCTTTGACTGGCACCAGAGCGCCGTGGCCAAGACGCTGCAGCAGGCGCCACCGAGCCGCGCCCTGCCCGAGCCCAGCCTGTTCAGCACGGTGCAGCTGTACCGCCAGAGCAGCAAGCTCTACGGCTCCATCTTCACGGGCGCCAGCAAGTTCCGCTGCAGGGACTGCAGCGCCGCCTACGACACGCTGGTGGAGCTGACGGTGCACATGAATGAGACGGGCCACTACCGCGACGACAACCACGAGGCGGACAACAACAACCCCAAGCGCTGGTCCAAGCCGCGCAAGCGCTCGCTGCTGGAGATGGAGGGCAAGGAGGACGCGCAGAAGGTGCTCAAGTGCATGTACTGCGGCCACTCCTTCGAGTCCCTGCAGGACCTGAGCGTGCACATGATCAAGACGAAACACTACCAGAAAGTGCCTCTGAAGGAGCCCGTCACGCCCGTCGCGGCCAAAATCCTCCCCGCCGCCCGGAAGAAAGCGCCCCTGGAGCTGGAGCCGCCCAGCTCCCCGGACTCCACGGGCGGGACGCCCAGGGCCGCGCCGGCCGACGCGCACGACGCGCTCCAGAAGAACGCCAACCCCTACATCACGCCCAACAACCGCTACGGCCACCAGAACGGCGCCAGCTATGCCTGGCACTTCGAGGCCCGCAAGTCCCAGATCCTCAAGTGCATGGAGTGCGGCAGCTCCCACGACTCCCTGCAGGAGCTCACCGCCCACATGATGGTCACCGGCCACTTCATCAAGGTCACGAACTCGGCCATGAAGAAGGGGAAGCCCATCCTGGAGACGCCCGTCACGCCCACCGTCACCACCCTGCTGGATGAGAAGGTGCAGTCGGTGCCCCTGGCGGCCACCACCTTCACGTCCCCCTCCCACACGCCGGCCAGCGTGTCCCCCAAGCTGAGCGTGGAGGTCAAGAAGGAAGTGGACAAGGAGAGAGCAGTGCCTGACGAGAAGCCCAAGGACAAGGAGAAGCCCTGTGAGGAGGAAGGCAAGTACGACGTCCCCTCCAAGTACCACTATTTGACGGAAAATGACTTAGAGGAGAGTCCCAAGGGGGGGCTGGACATCCTCAAGTCCCTGGAGAACACCGTGACGTCTGCCATCAACAAGGCCCAGAACGGCACCCCCAGCTGGGGGGGCTACCCCAGCATCCACGCCGCCTACCAGCTCCCCAATATGATGAAGCTGTCCTTGGGCTCGGCCGGGAAGGGCGCGCCCCTGAAGCCCGTGTTCAGCGCCAGCGAGATCCTGTCCCCCACGAAAAGCCAGACCCTGGTCTCCTCGCCCGGCAGCCAGACCTCGCCCGTGCCCAAGACCAACTTCCATGCCATGGAGGAGCTGGTGAAGAAGGTCACGGAGAAAGTGGCCAAGGTCGAGGAGAAGATGAAGGAGCCGGAGGGCAAGCTCTCTCCACCCAAGCGGGCCACCCCGTCCCCCTGCAGCAGCGATGGCAGCGAGCCCATCAAGATGGAGGCGTCCGGCGACGGGGGCTCCCAGAGCCAGGAGCACAGCCCCAGCCCCGCGCGGGACGGGGGCAAGGAGGGCAGCCCCCCGGCGGAGCCCGTGGAGAATGGCCAGGAGCTGGGCCAGCCCGCGGGCAGCAGCCTGAGCAGCAGCACCGCCATCATCACAGACCACCCCCCCGAGCAGCCGTTCGTGAACCCGCTGAGCGCCCTCCAGTCGGTCATGAACATCCACCTGGGCAAGGCTGCCAAGCCCTCCCTGCCCGCCCTGGACCCCATGAGCATGCTCTTCAAGATGAGCAACAGCCTGGCCGAGAAGGCGGCCCTGGCCACGCCGCCCGCCCTGCCGCCCCGGAAGGCGGACCCCCTGGACCGCTACCTCTACCACGCCAGCCACGACCAGCCCATAGACCTGACGAAGGGCAAGGGCGACAAAGGCTGCTCGGCGGGGTCGGTGCTGCTGTCGGCCACGTCCACGTCCCCGGCCACCTCCTCGTCCACGGGGACCACGGCGAAGACGTCCGCCGTCGCGTCCTTCCTGTCGAGCTCGCCGCTCCGCGAGAACGCCCTGTCGGACATATCCGACATGCTGAAGAACCTGACCGAGAGCCACACGTCCAAGTCCTCCACCCCCTCCAGCGTCTCGGAGAAGTCCGACCTCGACGGGGCGACGCTGGAGGAGGCGGAGGAGGCGACGCCCGCGCAGAAGAGGAAGGGCCGCCAGTCCAACTGGAACCCCCAGCACCTGCTGATCCTGCAGGCCCAGTTCGCCGCCAGCCTGCGGCAGACCACGGAGGGCAAGTTCATCATGTCGGACCTGAGCCCGCAGGAGCGCATGCACATCTCCAGGTTCACGGGGCTCTCCATGACCACCATCAGCCACTGGCTCGCCAACGTGAAGTACCAGCTCCGAAGGACAGGCGGGACCAAGTTCCTCAAAAACCTGGACACGGGCCACCCCGTGTTCTTTTGCAATGACTGCGCGTCGCAGATCAGGACTCCCTCCACGTACATCAGCCACCTGGAGTCTCACCTGGGCTTCCGGCTCCGGGACCTGTCCAAACTGTCCGCCGAACAGCTCAGCGGCCAGATAGCACAAACCAAGTCGCCCTCGGAGAAGCTGATGACGTCCTCCCCCGAGGAGGACCTGGGCACCTCCTACCAGTGCAAGCTGTGCAACCGGACCTTTGCGAGCAAGCACGCGGTGAAACTTCACCTGAGCAAGACGCACGGCAAGTCCCCGGAGGACCACCTCCTGTATGTGTCCGAGCTGGAGAAGCAGTAGCGTTGGCTGCCGGCGAGGCGGCTGTGGTTTGCTCTGAGGGAAACGGCGGCAGGCACCTGAAGGCCCCTGTCCGGCCGTGGCACGGGCCCCCCTTCCCGGCAGAGCGCCGCTCCGGGCTGGACCGTGCTGTGTGGTTGTCAAGTGGCCGGTGGAGGCGCGTGACCGGCTGCCGTCACTGGCGAACATGGAGGTGGAGACGCAGTGCTGAGCGTCGGGGACTTCGTGTGCGTGGGGTTTCGTCGGGGGCGCCCGGCGCTCCGCGCTGCATGCTTTCACGGACCGTCTGACCCCGCGTCGGTAACGGCCCGGCGCCGCCCGCCCCGCGCCTGCGGCGCGCCGGGGCTCCTCACCCTCTCATCTGTAGCCCTCCGAGTACTTTGAAGCACTTTTGCATTCATTTGGTTAAAAAATAAAATAAAATTATAATAATGTAGGAAGCTCTGTTTTTTAAACTCCTTACCAGCTTCGTTATAATTACTAATATGAACCTCCACTTATGCAGGTCTGCAGGGGTATAACACGCCTTGAAATTTAAAAGAATATTATTTTCACATTGAAACATAGATGTATATATTGTATAGATTTCAGACTCTCTTATGGAAAACGTGATTGTGGTTCGAGGACCTTTGTTCCTGCATTTGTAGCAACAGTGTTTTCTGTCCCTGCTATGCTCCGGGCACCGGCCATGCCTGTGTATAGTGTCTCCTTCTTTCCCCCTTTTTTAAGGTCTATGGGTTTTGTTTTTTACATGCAAACATTGTAAATTATACAGAAGATACCACAGATAGCATTTATAAAGTATACAGAAACATTATCTGAAAGCAAAGTATGATTGTTTGTTTTGCTACACAGTACACCTATGTTGATAGAGGTTCACGTTTAAATTATACATATTTATTAGCACCGCATTATCATTTGTTTTGAGCAGTCTGAATAAATGAGGCCAGGCACGACACCGCGGCAGGCAGCATCGTAACTATTTTGCACATCGTTTTTAAAGGTATTTATTAGAAGTCAAAGAATGCTCAAAATAAGCTCAGTGCTCAAAGGGTTAAGTCTATTTGAAAATGAAAAAAAAAGAACAACAAAAAAAGAGAGAACTTGTACTGTATTTCCTAAACATTGACAAAGCCTTTAAAACGTTTGTACTGTAATACTTTGCTTCGGAGTCCCGCGGCACCTGCGCCCCCTCTCCCCCCGCCGTCGGCCCCCCCAGCTGCTAGTCCGTTCTCGGGATGCCTTTTTGTTCCAAACGGTAACTTTCTGTTTTCTGCTCCTAATTATTCTCCCAAGATCCCCCACTGCAGCTTTATCTCTAGGCCTATGAAAGGTAACCCGTGGTTACCGCGCGCCGAGCGAGCCCGCTCCGCCCCGGTTCGGGCGGTTAATTTGCGGGAGTGACTGGCAGCTGCCGCCGCGGAGAAGCTGTGTGGGGACGCCGGCATGTGCCCCGCACCGACGCCCCGAGACACTGTGCGCCCCGCTTCCTCGTCGACAACGGACCCCCGTTCTGTGACTCTTCATATAGCCCCTTTTTCTACGGCAGCATTAAAACCGTCTTTTTGCTATAATCTTGTGTTGCGTTCACAATTATGTCTGCAGTGTGCTCCGACTAACGAGCACATTAAAATGAAATCGTGTGCGATCTGTTCGTGACGAGGTGGCGCCGTGCCTGCCAGGTGCCGGCAGGCGGAAGCGGCCGTAAATCAGGGGAGTTTTAGTGAACTTTGGTGTTTGGGGAGCAGGGGGCACTGGCTTGGAGATGGCGGGGACAGAATGCCCCCCAAGAGCTAAATTTTTCAAGAGAGGAAGCTGTTTGGGTGAGGCCAGATCCTCCCGGGGAGTGATGTTTCAGGCAGGGCAGCCCGGTGTCCGGTGGCACCGGGCCAGTGGCCAGGGGCTGGGCCGAGGGCTCCCTTTGGAAGCGGCGAGTGCGCGCCCCGCGGGCGGCGGAGGGGCGGCCAGGTCTCGGGAGGCGTCCAGGCAGGGCCGCGCCTGCCCGCTGCTCCGGGGTTTTCCGGCAGCCGAGAACAGCCCGGCCCGGCCGGCCGGTGGCGTCTGAGTCAGGGCTTCCTCTCCCGCGCGAAGGCACCCACAGGTGACGAGGCGCAGGATGGCGCGGGGTGACTGAACCACACACGGGAGGCGGCGTGGGGAGAGCGTTTATGTGATAATCACAAGCTTTTATTAGTCCTGGCAAATCATGCCAACAAAACGCTGTGAAACTGTAAAATACCTTTATTACTGTATTCAAACCACTCCCGCAGCTACGCGGAATCGTAGCTCCCAACCTAGAATTATACAAGTGAGAGATGCACCCCAGCCCTGTGATGCGTGAAACCCCTCACCTTGAAAACACACTTGTATTAAATATTTAAATTAAGCCCTTTCAGAGATGTTTGGCAACACGCCTGCTTTCCCCTGCTCATCCCCCCCCTTCCTGTCAGGAGGAGTCCAAAATCTCTGTCTGCTCCAGTGCCTGTCAGCGGATCATCTCTCCGGCGTCTGGAGAGAAACGCTCTGCGGTTTGAGACGGGCTTTCGGCGAACAGGGGTTCCGGGCTGGCTGCGCCCTGGCTGCCGGGGGCGGCCGCGCCGGCGGGCTGTGCCCCAGGCGGTTTGCGCAGTAGGACGGCAGGGCGGGCTGCCCCGCGGTCGGAGCCTGCCCCTTCCCCGTCGCGGTGGCCCGGCCCCTCTGAGCCCCACGAGCCCTCTCCCGGGTGGAGCTGTGGGGCCCGCACCAGGCCCCGGGCACAGAGACGCTCTCCCTCCTGTGCCTCCGCATTCTCTCCTCCTGGAGCCCAGGTTTCCCCGCTTGATTTTCCGCAGGCTGAATGAGGCCTCGGTTTCTTAGATGGAAGCCCAAGTCCTGCGGCGACCAGATTAGACTGACAGCACTCCCACCGCCGGGGTCCACGTGGCTTGAAGAGAGACAGGATTTGTGGGGCTGGCGGAACCCCCTCTACAGTTTGGGGGAGAGCCTGTCCCTCGGCCTGTCCCCTCCCTGCCCCTGCCCGGGTGGATTCCCGGACTTTTGTCTCTGGGTGTGGAAGCCAGCGCTCCTCCCGGGGGGATGGCTGCCGGGTCTCAGACTCGGGAGGGGGCTGCTCCGAATCACGGCCAGGCGATGACGTGGGCGCCGGGCAGCCGCGGGCCCCGTGAGGGGTGCACACCTCGCCCGGCACCATGACAGCCCCCCACCTCCGGCCCGCAGCATGGGGCAGGGCGGGGTGGGGCGGGGCGGGCCAGAGCACCCCGAGGTCACAGGCCAGCAGCCGCGCAGACGACCCTGCGCTCGGGGCCTGCAGCTCCTGCAGCAAACCGGACGCAGGCGGCCGCTCCCGGCCTGGCGCAGGCGCGGGGTGAGCGCGGGACGGCCTGAGCCACCGTGTCAGGCTTCCCCTGGGTGCCGGGAGGGCGGGGCGGCGCCGAGGGAAGGGGGTCTGGTCACAGGCGCGGGGCGGACCTCACCCCGCCGGGGCCGGCTTGTCGCAGTCCTGCCGCATCCCTCCCGCATCCCTCCCAGCCCTCACATTCACACAGTGTCTTAAAGGAGCGTTTGTGATAAATGTGCAATTTAACTAGTTTATGGCGCTCTGATGTGCTCAGGGCTACGTGCAAGATGAAAACCTTCAATGGAGCTTGAGCAGCTCACTTCACAACGAGAAATCAATACGCCGCATCCCGGCTGCTCACCGCAGTCGGCGCGCAGCGAGAGTACCGGGGACGCGTCTCTAAGGTTCAGGCAGCCAGGGTTCTATAATTAACCGAGATCTTCCGTCGTGGGCGCGGGCTGGCTGCGACGAGGGCCCCTCTCCCTGGCACCTCGGCTGTCTTCCTTCTGCGGAGGGAGGAGACGCCGGCGGGCGGCCACTGCGGAGCTGGGCTCCGCTGCGGGGCGGTTCCTGGGGCGCCCGGGCGGGCTCAGGGCCCTGGGCGACCGCGGTGCTGGGATGCTGGGCGGGCGTCAGCGCCGCGCTCGACCGGCTGCCGCCTGCTCCTCAGACCTGCTGAGGCCACGTGTTTGCAAGGAGGAGAGGCCGGGCCCGGGGCGCAGTGGCCGGCAGGACAGCGCCTCCCGGGGAGCGGGCTGGAGTCAGGGTGCGAGAGCCGTCCCCGCAGATGCTCAGGCACCTCGGGGAGAAAATCAAGTGATGTTTTTCTGAATTCATCTGCACGGCTCTTTTGAAATCGGAAAATTGCAGTCGCCTCGTATTCTGTTGATTATTTAGCACAAAAATAACATGCTTTGTATTCTAGGGAGCAATCATAAAAATGAAAACGCCAACCCAACACCACTCCTTAATAATAAATACTTTAACTTAAAAATAATAGGCATTATCCTATTAGCTAATGGAGAAATCACCATCTTCACTCTGCTGGAGAGTCGTTCTCTCGGCGCTGGAGACGCGAGCCCTCTCCCTCCCCGGGGGTCTGATTGGTGCGCGCGTGCACTGCGTCTCCTCGGGGCGGGCCGGCCAGCGCCTCTCAGTCCGGAGTGACCTTGGGACGCAGGGGGCGGCACCCTCCCACTCCCGCGCCACCCCCGGCGCCCGCCCTTTGCAGAACGCGCTGCCGCCGACTCGGGCGGCCTCACTCCTCGCGGAGGCTCCGCCCCGCCTGTCAGCAGAGAGCTCCTGGCCCTCCCTGGGCGGCGCGGCGGCTCACCCCCGCGAGGGCTGCAGCCGCGTGGCTTGGAGACTGGGCGCCGGCTTCAGTTCCCGGGGGCGGGCCCTCCCTGCACTGCACCGAGGATCCTGAGGCGGAGGGACGCGCCCGGGGCCAGCCCCGGGAGGGGGTCAAGGCCATCAGCCCTCCGCGGGTGGACTTGCCACAGTGCCGGTCCCCGGCCCGAGGGTCTGGCGTCGGCACACGGCCGGGCAGAGCGGCGGTGACTCGGGTGGGGCCGGAGTAAGAGTTGGCGGCTTCTGGAGGCCCGGCTCCCTGGGGTCAGCAGCTCCCCGCCCCCGCTCCGAGGAGCCGGGGTCTTCAGAGCTGAGTTCTGACGGCGGGAGACCAGAGGGGCCGCTCCGCCACCTTTGCATCGCGTCCTGGCCGGGGACGCTCTCAATAAATCACCGCCGACAATGACGATGATAAGCAAGGGGACCTCTTCCCGGCAATTAGCGCCCACAA